GGCGGCGCGCCCTGCGGCGCGGCCGGGCCGGGGGCCTGCCGGAAAGGGGCGATGGCGGTTCGGATGCAGTTGAACCACTGCTGCTTGTGGAAGACGTCATTGGCTTGGAGAGTGTGCGACTGGCCTGGAGAGGGGTCTTGGAAGCGAACTCGAAAGATATTTTTAGCTAGAAACATAAAAAAGGGAAATCCAGATAAAGTGGCTGTACTGCCTCGGGGTGCGGGCGTTTGTGTGGCGGCGCATCTCAGGGAGGGACGCTGGCCGATGCGGGGCGGCGCCCGCGGGCGGGCCGTGTGGCACCTGAGGGCCCAGGGAGGGCGGCGGGAGCAGGACCGTGGAACACTCAAGTTCCAGCGTGGGGACAGAATTCTTAAAGAGAAAAACTACGTCCACTCCGGCTCTGAATCTATGTTTGTTTAAAGGATTTTAAAGCGTGCGCTCTACCTTTGTCGGAGGTGCTGAAAGCCCCTCGGAAGGACCCGCCCATCCTCGCGTCCCCGTCCTGCAGGTCTTCCAAGACCAGGTCCTGGACCGGGATCGGCTGCCGGTAAACCTGGTACGAGTGACGCTCACTCCGGGTAACAGGTCGAGTCAAGACCAAGATGTCTTGGAACAGGAAAAGGTGCAGTTTCTGGAGAAACAAGAAACAAATGCTTCCTAAATAGGGAGCTTTGTGATTTTAAGTGACTAAGATCCATGGTTAAGACAGCTCGATTTGACATTATTTTACTTTCATCAAACTGCCTTACTAAGACTCCCCTTACCAACGACTCGCAGACATGGTTTTACAGCCGTGCATGTTCTGCGTGGAGAGCTTGCTGGGTCTCAGACTGTATGAAACATTTTTTTACCAGCAGTAACATTAGATTCAGCAACAGCTGAGTAAACGCTGCACACCACAAAGACCTGCCTGCTGGCGGTAACGTGACCAGGAACAGCAGAGCTGTACACCAGTCTTCTAACAAAGTTAAGAATTACAAAATGTGAGCTGGTAAAAATGTTAATGGTTCTGTTTTGTCCCACATAAATTTAAAAAAGCTTTCATAGAACAATGAGGCCTCACGATAGAAATCAGAGATGTCAGATTTCAGCTCTTTCCAGGAAGAAATCTCAGCTTATAAACTGGGCTTCTGAAAAGCACATAATGAAATAAAATACCACTCCATGCGGGAACCTTTGTAATTAAGATTTAAAAAGTTTGCTCTCATTCAATCTGCTGCAGAAATTTGCTTAGTAGTGCTAAAAACGACTTCCATTACTATAAACTCTTCAAAAATGTTTTAAAGGATATGCTGTTTATTAAAAATGTAAAGCTAAAAATGTAAGAAAGGAACCCCTAGCCAAACAAGCTGATTCATGCTTCAGAACTGAAAAATAAAGTATCACTATTCTCCACTAAGACATTTAAGTCTTCCTGTAATGACAGATACCAGATGGCTGAGTCACGTCAGATCCGGGAACCCTCCTCCTCTGAGAGGAGCTCGCTCCAGAAAGCCGCGTCACACGCGGCGGGAGGTGGCACGGCGCCTGGCCGGCGCTGACACTCACGTGCCCGTGTTTGCTCCTTAGCTCCCCGTGGCACAGCAGCACCTTGCTGGCTTCAATCCTGGGGTCCCTCTGCTTCTCGTCCAGGTACTCCAGCTTGTCGACGTAGTACTGGCACTCCGACTCCCCCTTCTTCAAGTTGATGTCAGAGAGAACGCCTTGTATTATCAGTATCTAAAAATACCCAGAACACCCCACGGAGCATCGTCAGCGTGGCAACTTGCCCTGTGCTCCTAAAGGACTAAGGGTCACGCTGAAACAATACAACTGTAAAGCCTGGGCTCAAGAAGTCAGGCAGTGCGGTCAGTCCCCTCATTTTAACACCTCAGCCAGATGGGGTGTTTTGCCCAAAGTCACACACAGCTGGCGAGTAGAAGAGATCAGGCCAGAATCCAGTCTTTTGATTAAAGTGTAAATGTAAAATGTGTCACGTGTCTTTACTAGTGCACAGCGCACTAACATATGAGAATGTGAAACTACAGAAAACGTCACCGTGCTGACTGCACGTGCAGAGGGGAGCGTCGTGCCGCACACCTTTCCAAGGTGCGTGAGTATGTAAACCTGAAAAGCTAAGACGCCTTTACTGGACTACTTACAGCCTCCTCCAGAAGCTGAACGTCGGGGTGGTCTTTCGGAGTGTGTCTAAGAATCTCCTTCAGCAGTAAAGGGTATTTGACGAGGCGGCTTCGAGGAATATCTAGGAAGCTCCAAAGATCTAGTTTTCGACTGAAGGGAGACTCAAGACATCGCTGGAGGAAGTCCTGGACTCTCGGATCCTGCTTCTTTTGATCGAGAAGAGCTTTGGCTGCCAGCTGGTTACTGCAGTAGCCTTTGTAGGCATTCAAGCCTGGCAACTGCGGGGGAGTAAGAAAAACAAACGGTAGTTAAGTCCCGGTCACAGTCGAGTCCACTAGCGAGACTGAACACCAAGCACAAAACTCACAGCTACTCTGACGGCTGTAACGGGCTGCGAAAGCTCCCCTGCAGGTGGTGACGGGGCTTGGATGGTATTCCGGGCCAACATCGGAATGCCCTTTTTCAGTTTCCTCATCTGGCTAAATCCAGAGACTCACAGCTTCTACTGCCCCTGACCTCAGTCAGATGCGAGTCTCCTGCACTCACAGGACACCTTCCTCTCTCACATGCCTCTCCAACCTGGGCACCGTTCACTGACCTGACTACTCGCCCCCTGGACTACGAATGTGGAGACCGTCTTTCACCACTGAACCCCCGGCCACCCCTCCGAGGACAGGGCCTGGCAGCCAGATGTTAACCAGAGAAGAAAACAGATAACTAAATGGTACAGAGTGTGGGAATTCTGTTCAAGGAGGAATGTATTCTTAAAACTGCATCATTCATGAAGTGTTTTTAAAACAGGGACTGTAACTTCTTATAGCTATGCAAATTTGTTCAGCTGTAACGCCTTATTTATCGGGTTTTAGAGTCCAGTCACTGGATCTAATCAATCATCACAAACAACAGGTCTGAAGTAAGCGGGCTGCACACCCAGTTCACAAGAATGTGGCCGATCTGCTCCACGGCTCCGCCAGGCCTGGTTGCTTCTCCTATTCTTGCCAACAGATCTGAAATGTAAAGGACCAATCATAGGTTTATTTAAAACATAATTCAGGGAGGGGCAAGGGGGGGAGGGGATTAAGAGGTACAAGCCACCATGTATGACACAAGTAAGTGACACGTGTGTGCTGTTCAGCACAGGGAATATGGCCAGTACTTTATAGTAAGTTTAAATGGAGTATAATCTATAAAACACTAATCACTATGTTGCATACCTGAAACTAATCTTGTAAATCAATTATGCTTAAAAAAAAATCAGCACTGAATTAGAAGTTCAGATTTAAAATGACTTGTCACTGCTGACTAGAATCTAATGAAGACTGGGGGGCATATCTCACCTTCGTGCAGAGGTATGTAAGCGTCCAGATCACCAAATATGTGCGTGAGTTCCTCCTCTGACATAATGGACAACTTTAACATGGGGTCATGGTAGGCCTGTCGGAGGGGAGAAACGTGTCACACACACAGATCAGACAGACGACACTGAGAGCGCGACATGTGGACGCAGCACGACTGACTGTACAAAAACGCGCGTGGACTCCACTGGTTACACATAAAAGAAATTAAAGTATATGTTAGTCCCTAAAGAGGCCCCTTCCTGATACTCGTCCTTGAAGAGATGTGTCTGAGAAACCGAATCTAAAGGACATACTGGCCAGCAGATACTTCCCACTTTCCCACACCTGCAGGTAAGAAGCCCAGCCTTTAGAGTGAGGCCTGCGGCACGTGATAAGGAGTTATTTACTGACCTTTCTTGCCAGCTTGAGATCCTCGATTAAATCCTGTTCACCTCGGGACATCTCATATATTGCCTAAAAAAACCCAGCAAACATCGTTGGTCATTCCTTCCTCTGAGAGAGGAAAATCAGATACAACTGGTATTTACCATTGTTTAACTGACATTTTGAACAGCGCTTTTTAAAGCGACTCGGTCTGAAAACTATAGTTCAGAATGGAATCTCCAATAAGAGGATCCGCGTGTTTCACAGCTTCACCCCATCAGAGCTGTAGGTCTGCCGACCAGCTCCCACCACGCGAGCTGCTCCGCTCACGTTAGGAAGGAGCACTCAGACACAGACACGCCAGGCTGTCTGCCTTCGGCGTGAGTTCGCTATTCTCCTGGCGAAACACCTATTTATCAAACGGAGCCTGCCTGTGTCCCGTTAAGGCCAGTAAACGTGGTCTCGCTACCGGGTGCCAGCGTACCTCCTGACGCTTGATCTCTTTGGTAGTGAGAGACTCCTTCGTGCTGACGTCTAACATCTCTGACCACAGGGCACTGCTTCTCCTCTTGGCAGGTGTGGGGACTGTTGATCTGCTCGAAAACTTCTGAGCAGAAGCTGGGGATCTGCTGTCACCACGAAGGGTAAACGACTTAAAAGAAAATCAAAGAAAAAAAATTTGGAGGATACAGTAATTATTCCTTTTTTTTCCTTAAAAAATAATGGAAAGACAAATTAAAAACAGGGTTCTGAGAATTTCTCAATGCATAAAACAATCATTTATACAAGCTTCAATCTATTATTCTAAAATATTTATCAGCCAAAACTACTTTTTGGGAATAAAAACTATCCAAGATTGTGCTTTGATATAAGATGCAAATTAATATAATGAGGTTATATAAATACTGTTCTGGTAACAGTATCTCTTAACAGCATGTTCCAAAACAGGAAAGTTATGTTTAAGTGTAATAGTACAAACCGTTTGTACGACTCAAAGAATATACAAATTTTAGGCTTCTATAAAGTCCCCTCACCACATTATTTGGCCCTGGCCCTGGCCCCTACCTGTATGGTTTGACCAAAGCGTCTGACGGCTCCATTTCTTACAGGAGAGATTAAATTTGCCAAGGACGTGACCCGAGCTAGAGGTCGAACTCTTTTATTGCTTGGCTCCTGTGAAAACAGAAACAAGTTATACTAAATGTGTTTTCTGTGTAATCATTTCAAACAAGTTTGGACAGAGTTAAGCCCTCTCAAAACCCAGATATTCGTACAGTATAAAATACAGAAGCATGTAACTCTGCAAGTGAATGTTGTTTTTCATTGTTGAAGTACGAAGAACACTAATGAGTAACAGTAATGTATCAAAAAATAAATGGTAGAAGAAAGGCTAGTCAAATATCTGAATGTCACTCTGAGAACATAACAAATATTATCATGAAGCCTAAGAAAAACCAAAATTAAAACAAAGAAATCAGACTCTAGGACCCTATAGAACTTTTCACTTTTGTGCAGAGACTATCTTGGGGAGAACGGCGGGCTGGATCCCGTGCGCTCATCACTCAGCTCCGGCCGTCTGTGGTATAACAATCTGTCTCACCTCTGCCCCTCCCTAAGTATTTCAGAGCAATTCACTCTTAAGTACTTCTGTTACAAAACAGCTTTTACAAAACTCTGACATTGGAATGGGTCAGATCTAAAGGCAGTGAGGTCCCTGTCGTGGCAGGCATTCAAGTACAGGTAGGACAGTGGAATCAGACTGACTGGGCCCAGATCCTGGTCCAGACACTTGATAGGGAACATCCTGGGTCTCAGTTTCCTCATCTGTAAAATGGGGTTAATGTTAGACCTTCTCTTCATTACGAAGATTAAATAAGATATGTTTAAAGGGCTCAGAACAGTCCTTGGAGTGTATTACTAACATTCTTTCTTATTAGGAATATTTCCATTTATTACATAGACATAAAACATAAAAAATAATTAGATCTTCTCTCATACATTTAATTGATTGACTTCAAGGAACAATATATACAAATTCAGATGAAATAGTCACTGTTTCACATGTACTGTTTTTAAAATAATAATAGTATAACAAACACAGCAATTATCATTCAAGGATCTCAAAACTTTACAAACTGCATTATTCTGACTTTACTGCTCGGGAAGTGGAGTGTACCAGCAGTGACTCACGCTGCTGCTGACATGAAGGGGACCAGGCCATAGAACAGGCCTGCCCTTTATGATGTCTACGGAGCATAACTACTTGTCTGTGTTTGGTGTCTTTGATGATTGTGGCATATTTGACAAAACAATTTTATGAGAATTTGGAAGAATACATGATGAGAAATTGTATTAAAATGGCCACTTAAAAATAAAAACTACCACCTAAACACGGCAGATGAAAAAACTTTTTTCTGAAAATTCTTTGATATGACCAACATCATAAAAAAGAGGTGAGGAAGTGAGTAAAAATAATCCCCTGAGAATAATTTAAGAGTAAAGTGGCAGAAAGTTAAAATCTTCTGGAAAGACACTTAAATGATCTCCATATTCAAAGAAGCAATTAGACTTATTACAGCTCCAAAAGGTGTCCACACATGTCAGAAGGGAACTGGACCAACACGACTCAGGCCTCTGAAGTCCTTAAGAGGTGGCGTCGCAGACCAGCCCTCCTCTGCCAAAATAATTAACTCCAAAATAAAGCTTTGAAGATAAAGTCATTAATGTGTGAATGTTAAATGAAGCGAACAAGAGGCCTTCGAGATGCGCAGTAAGAGGACACACTGTGTGGCCCAGGACACGTGTGAATGCCTTTACCACACCATCTGTGCAGACTGCAGGGACACAGGCAGCCAGAGGGGCCGGCAGGAGGCATTCCTTTCTATTTAGTGGAGACTGGACAAAGACGCTGCTGTTTGGATGGAGATATAATTACCTCACCAAGTAAGATGTGCCAACATTAACCAGAAACCAAGCAGCTGTCAGAAAGTTCTGTTCCGCATTTTAGAATCAGAGGTTAACTCCTCTTCCTTGTTCAGAACGTAACGAATGTGACTTCCCAGTAAATTATAAAATACTTAATTTCAATTTAAGAGTCTTTGGAAAGGTGCTCTTCCCAGTGAATTTGAAACAAAAAGTTAGTTTAGCTGGAAGGAAAGGGATTTTTGATATCTATTTTATTACCTAAAACCAAATTAATGACCCCCAAATCCTTATGTTTATAGGATCACTTACTGGACAACTGCTAATTTCCTGGTAACTAAAAATTCTGATATTTAAAATTAAAACTACAGAATTTAGACTTAGATCATTAAATGAGTATATATGTAAAGGAACTTTCTGAAATTAGAACTCTGAAATGTGGATTTTGTTCACACCATCTCTAGGGCGGCAGGGTATTCTGCTGAGCTGTACTTGTGTTAACACGCCGCACGGTCCTGGAGAAACCCATCTATAATCTCACTTCTTCACCCCGGACGTGCGGGTCCTAGACATCTAATCTAGGATGTCTGCAGGAGCGTGCCCGGCTAGCCCTGTCAGCAGAGAACCACACTCCTCAAGTGTCTGGGGGAGAAAGTTTGGTGCTGAATCAGCAAATCCAGGGGAAGGGAGTGGGTGCGAGGACACGTCTGTACTTTTCGCACATGGTTTCTGATCCACTTTCCGGTCTTACTGAAAGGACACACGTGAAGAATGTTTGGCAGATGTAACACCAACTTTTAGCATATATATTTATTTCAAAAGTATGAAGAATTTTAATGAGTAACTTAAAAAGTGTGACTGAAATATAAAGGCATAATACTGAATATGGCTCACTGATTTCAGGGTAAGGACATTATTTGAAAAAAAAAAGTCATACAAACAACTTCTGTGGATAAGTAATATGAACTAGGCATTCATGGGTCACCTATAAGGTTGGGACAAAATTTTCTCTTTATAGTTAGAATCTGGCACATGTGAGCTACAACCAAAAGCAGTTTTCCTTTACACGTCTAGACGTACCAGTGTAATTATCTTGGTTTGGTTATTAAGAACCTAAACATATTTCGAAGACAGTTTTTTGAGAACTGGGGTTACACCCCCACCTGCCCCCCGCAGACACGGGGTGCAGGTACAGTCTGAATCTGAAGGTGACAGAGGCAGACAGGGGCCGGAGTCCTCCTATCTTACTCACCATCACCCCAGATAAGGCTTACCTAGTGGTTTTGTTGTTGTTGTTGGTTTTGGAGTGTTGTTAACAGCATGATGGTGATTACAAGAAACTGAAAGGATGAGCACAGACACCGAAACTATACATCTCAGAAGACAACCTGAGAATGTGTGGGAAGAGAGAGAGACCACCGCCAGCCTTCCGCGCTCAGGGAGCTTCCTGCCGGAGGCCACCTTTCACCGGGGCCACCAGGGCTAAAGTTCACTAAGACCGGGCTGGGGGCGGGCACACAACACCCTCTAATATAAATTCAGGTTGTTTATTTAGGTTAACTTTTAACCAGACTATCTAGCTTGACTAGGCAAGCATATACATTGTTACAGGGACTCTGCCTTGAGACTGGGTTTTTACTCGATCTGTTTATTTGACTAATCTACTTGTAGTCGGATATTATACGTTAAAATATTTTCTGGCTACCTAGTAATAGAAAATTGTTGAATCAATTTAAAGTCTTTTACTGGGATGTACCTTGCACATAAAAACAACAACAGGGATAAAATCTGTTGTAAGCTCAGTTTTTTGTAAACAGATTTTTTTCTCCTAAATGATGTCATGGAAGAGGATTTATTTTAGGAGGGTCTCTTCTGTAGTCAACCAGACCAAGAAACTTAAAAAAAAAACAAGTTATGTGCCTGGGTTTTTCATCTGGGTTACTGGATAAATAATCTTCTCCTTGGTCTGGCAACAACTTGGAGAAGAAAAAGTTATTTATAAAAAAGATAAAAATGAGTTGTGATCACACAGGATTTCTTCCCTTTCCTCTTAGTAATAGAAAGAGTCCAGTTTAGTTATTCACTTAAGGCTGTGTTGCTAGTGCTAAAAACCTGACAACATTCCTGGTGTTTTTAATCTTCGGAATAAAGGTATGCCACAAACATGGCCGGTATCTGAAAAAAAGACTAGCTCTTGATGGTCCAGAATAATTAGTTTTAGTATTTACACTGATGATTTCTTTTGAGAAAACTGAAACATATAAATAAGAGCTAAAACCAAACAGTAAAACAAAAACCAAAGCCCAATTACACCAAAAGCACCCCTTCTAAAGATGGCAGCTGTTTTAAGTACCATGTACGACACACAGCTTTACCAAGATACGCAATACACCGCACATATGTTAAAATGTATAGCTAGGTAAGTTTTGTTAGATGGACACAGCCACAAAACTGTCACCCCAATCAAGATAAGAAGTCTACAGTTAATTGAATGCAGGAACACCATTTCCATCACATAAGTGACAATACAGCATACATCACAGATATACTGTGCTATGTGATATAAACAGAATGCCCACATAGTATTAAATCAACAATCAAAATTAAGTAAAATGGCATAAAAATCACTTATTTTGATAAGTGTTCATAAAGGCTTTTAAAAACTACAATGACTTCAGGTAATTACTAAAGCAAGGAGGGCAAAAGCACCTAAATAATGATTCGTTGGCTTAAATATTTTAACATAGCTTTCTTTCTGAAGAACAAAAGTCGCAGTACACTTATTAGATGTGGAAAGAAAATTTACAACGAACACTGGATCAGATGGCAGTTTGTTCACTAGCATTGACTTGCAAGGAGGGAGTCCTCCTTTCCTCCTGTTCCACAAAGCAGTCCCCAAGACTCACTAGGTAACAAATGCAGGTCAAAACCCCACAAAAACAGACACACACACACAATCAAACAAAAAACAGCCGTACTAAGCATCAGAAATGTGATCCATTTAACCAAATTAAACAGCATATATATTCAAGATCTTTAAAAAATCTTTTTGTAAAAGTTTTTGTACACTCAGTCTATGCTATGTACAAATCTATCTGCACCAAGTTCCTAAACACGTTTCAAACCTGCATGTGAATCAGTCATACATTTTAATACTCACTAAAATCAAAAGTTAAGTTTAAAATCATACTGTTAGTAAACTGTTAAAAACTGTGAGAGTTCCCTAGAGTTAGAAAGCATTCCTCTGGCTTTAAGTCTTACCTCTTGCTCCCTGAAGGACTGACTGTTAACATCCAGGACCCGTATGGTCCTCTTAATAGGCAGGAGACCCCCGACCTCATCGTGCGCCACCATGTTTTCCCCGGGGCCCCGACAGTCCGGCCCGCGGCCGGAACCCGCACCCGCGCCGCCCTGCAGGGAGCTCAGCCGCCCTGGGCAGCCATCGGCACGACCTCC